TGCTTCAGTTGGTGTCAAAGTAATTTAGTTGGACGTCTACTTGGTTTCATGCCAAATTCCAGGATTAAAAGAACATATTTTTCATAATTCAAAAGCTTACAAAAGAAAGGGATAGGTGGAACATGATAAAGAGAATTCGGGGAGAAGGGATGGTTCTAGTGGGATTTGAGGTCAATCATGGTTGTGTGTTGGAGACGAATTAAGCAATGACAAAAAGGAGAAAAATGGATTTCGATTTGCAGGTATCAAACGACGGAGATGAAATCTAGCGTCAAAGACGAATGTCGACCACGGGAATCAGAGAATGAGAATAAGAGAGAAAGAAGACTGTGGCATATCATATTTGCGGCGGCTGTCAACGGTAGTTCTGGACGAAAGAGGGTTGTGAAGCAGGTGATGAATTGGTTTCTCCTACGAGTGGCAATGGGTTGGGTTGTTTCATAAACAGGTTACCTATTTAATTAAATGGGTTAAAAATCTCTACCCAACCCAACCTATTTAAGTAAACGGGTTTAGAATTCTCAACCCAACCAAACGGATTTAGTAAATGGGTTGAAATTGGGTTGACCTATTTATTGTTTTTTCAACCCAACCTATTTACTAAATGGGTTAAACCCAGGTTGACCCATTTAAATTTTCAAAAAAAAAAAAATAAATAAATAAATAAATAATAATAATAATAATAACAATAATAATAATAACTAGAAGCGTTCCAGCGCGTTGCGCCGGTCGGAAATGGTGTTGTGTGGGTCGGAATGGTGCATGTGGATTCAAATCAATGTTAAAGTATAATATTATAGCAGCAGGATGAACCAATAGATATAGTTATGAAAGTAGGTTGTTATTTCTTGTATGTAACTAAATTTAAATGCAGAAATAACCTATTAATTGTACTTGAATAAACAACACATTTTATCTACATTAAGAATTTAATACAAAACATTAAACATGTTGTCAGGAGGTTTTCAAAAAGAGTTTCCAAGGGGTAAATCAGTACTTACCAAAGCAAAAGAAACATTGTAATCAAATACGAATAACCTCTATAAGGAAAATGATGTAACGAAGTTTCTCAAGTGATCTAAGTTGGTGGAGTGCTAATAAATATGATGTATGGCCTGCAATCAACAATAAAAAACTTTCCATTAGAATAATCATTTATAAGGTGAAATGAGGTTGTTCCATATGTAAACGTAAGTCTTCACCATCTTCTTATTCCAATCAATCTCTTCCACACCTTCTAAATAACAATGGTATGACTTTATCACTCACTTTTGCTTGGTACTGAAGACATTTTATAAGACCATTTGGCTGATTGAATGAAAGTTAAGCATAATAGACTCTACCAACCAATTTTGAAGATATTTTTCAAGATTTCATGTCAATCGAAGCACTTTAGTATCATCTTGGATCTGCATCACGATTGGTGGAGGGTGTTAACAAACTCCACAAGTTACCTTTTTGTCCCTTCTCTTTTACCATGGCTCCACATCCTCATGACAACCACTCTCTTCTTTTAACCCGTTTACTTCTTCCTCTGATGGGGGCATTTTTTGAATTTCACATAACTCATAAACCTTGCTTTGTTCATCATGTTTACCTCATCCAAGCAATACTTGTTGAGCCAAATTCCATTGCTAAAGAAGATTTCAAAATCTGATGGACGTCAAATGGTAGACTATTATTGGACAGCTCCAAACATGCAAGATTCTTGAAACCAATCACACATTTGTTAGGGAAAAACTCAAGAGACAGTTACCAAAACTCAAAAAAAATCCTTCTCTACGTACACAAATAACTTCATATAGCCACTATTATCCCTTCTAAAAATAACAGAAACGAAATAAAATAACTCAATAAGGAAATACATGAAACAAATGACAATATATATCATCTATTTTGAAGATTTAAATATTACCTTGTTATGTTTTCTAATTTTTACAAATGGGTTGTTGGCTTCAAAGAAGATGATTAATTCATCTATAAAAGTTTAAAAAATTTTAACATTATTTTTATATTCAACCTAATAAGACAAAGAAGTCGTGAAATCATACTAATTACGTATTTCATCATCCCTTTTTTTAATGGATGCAAAAATACAAAAAAATAAAAAATCAAAAGAATGACAATATAATTCATCAAATATAAATAAAAAGATTACCTTATGTCCTTCTCTTAACAACAATATGCCTACCATTCCTCTTAACAACTTATTATAAAGTATAATCTATACCAAATAAAAAATAAGGTAAACTGATTGTATACAACTGTTATGTGTGCCAACAGCCTAAAGACATATGTACAACCATAAATACATCTATTTGTCTCATACCACCTTACACCTACATCTATTTGTACCATTCCACTTAAACAATATTTAATCACTATTTTTTACAACATATATAAAATTTGACAAATTATATCAAAAATATATCAAATTGACTGTTTATGATTGTTTATGATTGGAACAGAAGTAACCAAGATTTCAGGCGGTAGCGATCCATTGCTTTGTTGTTGTGGTAGACATGATCAATTCTAGCAAATAAAAAAAAACATACTTTTTTTTATCACAAATAACTGCAATTTCCTCAATATGTCAAAAAAACTTTCTTAAATCGAGTGCAAACTCCTAAATTCTATTAACTCATAAAATCATATAAGATCTTACAATTTCAAACAGATACAACTCAACTAATCTTTCTGATATATGTACCTTTTCATAACACTTTTCAAGCCAGCATGACTACTTATTATAGGATCCATATCCAGAACACATGATATTCTAATTAACTTAGTTACATCTTCTTCATCTAACATTGTACAATAAGGATCCATACCTGTGAAACAACAAAGAAAATTTTGAACCAGTCAAATGGATTTTGTGGAAATGAAACGGTTTTCTAACTTAGTTGCAATTTACAGCTGTAAACTGTATCAATATGAAGCTGTTCTAGAATAAGTCATATAATGGTCGATATGGACTTACTTTTGAATCAATCTCTTGGACAACTATATTACATTGGAGTGAAGAAGTACTCTTGAAAGTTGACGTGTACGTGCCCAACAAATTACGTGGGTTAGCTGCAGAACTACCAATCACAAAAAATGCAGCCAAAATATAAAATAGTACATGTTAGGTCTTTATGAAATGAGACGTGGGGTAATAAATCGACCATTTTACCGAGAAAAAAGAGAGTCACCTCCAAGTGAAAGGAATTTGGACTCACCCGTCACAACAAATTCTTGTGGTAGTGGAAATTGGTTCCTAACTATGGCAAATTAGAATCCCTGATAAGTGCCTGTAGAAAGAAAGAACTTTTATCAAATAAAGCTTATAATGAAGGTATACACCAAACGAAATTACTAACCAGCAACCTAATTTAATCATAAACATGGCAAAAATGGCATAACAGAGTGAAATTAAGGTTTAAATTTTATGCAGTAGATTTCAACTGAAAGCAATATCGTATCTTAGTATGAGACCCCAAAAAAACCCAAAATCTTATAATAATTTACAACTATAGGGAATTGAGCATTAGGATTTAACTAAATCTGAAGGTCATGGGGGTGTCAACATGAAGAGGTGGAATTGATTCCCTCTATTTCTGGAAGTCGGATCGATGGATACTGTAGCAGATGGTGACCAACAGAATGTGTGTACCATGAAAGTAGGTCTCCTTCAATCGTAGAGAACAGAACAACACAACCTTCTTCCGATCGGTAACCACCATCCACAGACCGAGAGCATAAATGGAGAGCTAAAAAAGGAAAACCAACGTCGATCGTTGCTCGCTACCAGACTAATCCAACAAATTTGAACAAAGAAAGAATCCCAGTTTGCAGAGGCAGTAAGTTTTGGATGAGTTTAGAGAGAGACGGTGGGTTTTGGAGGCATCGTTGCCGTCGAAAGCCACCGGTGAAGGAGGAAGTTTGTTTGTGAGAAGCAATGTATTAGAGGTTTCCTGAACGAATGAGAAACAGGAGAAGGAAATAAACAGAGGCGGTGATGAAAAAACCTGGTGATATGCTATTGGATATGAGAACCGGTGGATTATAAAGGGAATACACGTGTCTATGTCTCACGGAGTTTTATGTCACGTATCCACAAAAGAATAAACATATTGGCAAAAAAAATGCCCACTATATAAACTAAGAATAATTGTAAACAACTCCATAGACAAAAGGACCAAAATTGCTAAAACCTTTGCAACTTCACTGTAGCTAACATATCAGAATTTTAATATATATATATATATATATATATATATATATATATATATATATATATATATATAGAGAGAGAGAGAGAGAGAGAGAGAGAGAGAGAGGTTCAACATCTCAATTCAACATGCTATTTATTAGATTGGGTTGGGTTTGATTGAGGGGACATCTCTAGTTTCTCCGAAAGGATTTTGGAGTCTCGGGTGGGGAAGAGTTTATTTATTAATTTTTTTTCTTATTTTGTTTTAAGTTAAAAAATTAGAAAAAGATAATAATAGGGGTATTAAAATAATTTTAATTGTATATATCTAAAATCATTAAAAAGATTCATAATTTGACAATTTTACAGCCACAGATTATTTTTGCAATTTTACCTTATATTTATGATTAAGCAAATATAATAGTGTAATTCACCCTACATAAATGGTCGATCGATATTACAACAGTCAACATATGGCTTGTTGTTTATCAATCTTTTTTCCTTTGTCGACATAAAATGTTCTATTTGTCCTTATTTAGAAAGACAGCCACGCAAAAGAGAACTTATTGGTGGTTCACAGTGTTTATAAACGAATTAACATAATAATATATTGTATTTATTGAAATGTCAACTAAGCTATACTATATGCATGACTTAATATACGTGTTCTCACTTATGACCAAAGCAAAAAAACTGTATCGGATGTTACACATGCTACACTCATTAATCATAACCATAATTAGTAATTACCATGAATCCACAATTCAACAAGAAAATATAAAAAGCAATCAAGATAATCCAATTAATCTACACGTACGTACGCCTCTAATCCATCATTAAAGACATTAACAAAAGCCTCCATCTCAGTAGCAGAAAGACACAAACCAATCTCCAGGTCTTCGTTCGATTCTTTGCAGGCAGCCATGGATATGGATCCATTAAAATCTATGGAAATTGTTTCATGCTTTTTCGGGTTCCCCAATCCAAAATCCAAATCGTAAAATTTAAGCTTCGGTGTTCCCGCAACCCCTATCCATGACGTTGGCATCATCTTCGCGAACAAATCTTCGAACGACCCAAAATCTTTCACGATTCCATCCTTATCGTTCAAGGTCGTGTGTAGACATTCTCCAAGCAATTTAGCAGCAGTCACGAATCCTTCCTTCCCCATTAAAAGACTGGTTTTCTCCAACGCCATTGTAAACGTAACACAATTACCAAAGTATGCTGCAGGGATCGGTGGATCCAAACGTGCCCTACAATCAATGGTGAAACCAAATAGTTCTGCCTCATCTTTACGTGCTTCTGCAATGCAACTCCAGATATATGCACATGCAACTGTAAAAGATGATATATATACTAACGTTGGAAGTTGGGTCGAAACCAGTTTCTTCAACCGATTCACGACAGTTCGCGTCAAGATAACCGTGACTCGGAGTTTATCAGTTGGCCCAGAAAGGCTTTGTGGTTGATACTCTTCGTTAAAAGTTTCGACCTTTGCGTTCTTCAGATAACTTTCATCTAGTTTCGGGTATTTGACAAGTCGATCATAAACGGGTAAAGTCCCATTACTTAAAAACAACTCATCTGTTCCGGATTGAGCTATCGATGTCCACGCCTTCAAGAAACAAAACCGGGTGCTAGCATCACCCAAGCTATGGTGATTCGTCATTCCAATAGAGAATCCATTGTTCGGAAAAAGTGTAACTTGAACTGAGAAGACCGGGATTGTTATGAAATCGGAGACTTTAATAGTCTGTTTGAGAAGAGGTATAAGATGATAAAACTTGTCACACTCTCGTGGATGGTTTCCTGTAAGATCGTTGAAATCAAGGTTGCATTCAGCAAACGTAAAATTGACTGAATCACCTTCAATGTATCTAATTTCGGGTTTTTGATCAGGAGAAGGAAATATGATCAAGTTACCAGCGAAAGGAAAAAAATGTTGAAGGGTGATCGATAACGAGTTTTTCAGATTAGGAGCGATGGTTTTTGTGAACTCGGTTTTAGTGATTGGAAGCTCATAGAAGAAGAGAGTGTTAATTGGAGGTGAGGTTAGCCATGAGAAGTCGAAAAAAGTCAGTGGCAACGACCTGTCACACACGGTGGCCGGTGGTGGCGATACTTGGGACTCTTCAAGAATAGTCATGGTTGGAAGGGAACCCATTTTGAATCAATTCCCTCGGATGGTTGAGTTTCCCAAAGCTAGTGGAGTTATATGGGGATAAGGAGATGATAACAAATAGTGCCTATCTGTTTTTATTAGGGAATGCACCTAGTAATCATCTTTTACTTTGGTTTTAGTTAGTAGATATATCATATTATGGTTGTATCTTTAGTGTTAAGCTTTTGTTAGATTCTAAAGCCGGTTTAAGATTATGGGAAGCCCCGGATATAACACGTATGTGTAGGTCATATAAAAATATCATCAAATTGCAATCTTCAAAATGTGACAAAATATTATTTTAATGCACAAAAAGGAAACAAATGAAATAAATAAAATGATAAACAATTATATATGTGATTACACTTCGAAATATGAGGAGACAATTTGTATTAAAATAGTTATGAAAATTCAATTCTCTCGTTTGACATATTTCTAGAATATTCGTACAACGTAGAAGAAAATATCTTAATTGAAAAATTAAATAAATTTAAAATAGAATATTAGGCCTTCTTGTATATACACCACGAGAAGATTCATTGGTATGTATACACCTCATCATCTTCTTTTTCCACCATCCTTCCATTTCCAATCCGGAATATTCACAAAGAAGGAATGTGGTCGTCTTGAGTTTAAGCTGCAAGAGAGAAGAAGAGAGGAAGAGAGAAGAAAGAGTATGTGATGAATTGTGGTGGCCAACATGTGAGAACATGTTCGCGATTCCAGATCAGCGCCACGAGAGGAACGAGATTATATGTACGGACATCGAGTGTAGCCACTTGGACCAATAGAGGCTTCGTGATACGTATACCAGTTGTCCTAATCATTTAAATTTTAGTTCAAATAATCATGTAAATTTTTGTTCCACAAAAAAATGTATTATTCAACAAATAAATGTACCTTTAGGTGGGACTTGGGAGGTGCCCAAGTCATAATGAGACTATTATATTAAAAAGTCATGCAGCATCGACATAGTTAGACAAATGGTATTCTTTTTTAAAAGGTTTTATAATTCTAATAAGTTTTATTTATTTATTTATTTATTTTTTTTGAATTTATCAATAAAAAATAAGTTTTTTTCTTACAAGGGGATCTGTCTCAAGGTTGGACGATAGAAGCGAGTGTGCGCAATACATCTTTTGAAGAAGTCCAAAATTTGTATGGACTTTATTAATGATATGTTAGAAAATATCGATTTTAAAGATATTATTAAAAATTTTGCATCTCAAAAAGCTAGAAAAATTATATCTTTTGTAATCAAAAATATTATATTTAGAAGATAGTATAAATATTTTATTTTCAATTATTGAGTTATTATAAAAAGATTAATAAAATTTATGTATTTTAACGGCATTTATTCCTCCTTTGTCTTGGGCTCAAATTATATTATATTTGAAATGACCCTGCTTAAAAGGTTACTCAAATATTTATTATGTTAGTAAGTAATATGGATAAAACACAAAGCACACAAGATATAATATGTACCTGGTTCGGTCTAGGTGATATTTGTCCACGAACAAGAGGGAAGTATTTTCTATTTATGATCTCTCAAACATATATAACAATTATAATTCAACATAGATTCGCCTATCACTCTAGAATTCAAGATACATTACAAATGACTTAGCATATATCCTTATTTATAGACGAGGTATGAGACCTAAAACCCTAATGAACCAAACTCATTAATCAATAGGCACATGAAAGGTGTCAATCAATCACAATCCATCATGCAGTAGTTTTGGGAATCTTTATCCTTGAGATACATCACATGAGCATCAGTAACACACATAACGAAGCATTATGATCCATAATGGTTAATCATGATGCAAGAGTGGCACATCATGATCACGATTGCCCATCAACTAACATGGTGGCGCATCATGCAATATTCCTTGAGCATCTTCACCTTCTAAGCATTCTTGGACAATCTTGAGAATTATAGTGGGCATCATAGCATAAGTGTCTCATCAAGGAATATCATGGCTCACCAAGAATCCATATGGCGTATCCTTGCACTAAGAAGATGCATCAAGCATGAGGATGTTACATCTTGTGCAAGGGATGACGCATCCTTTCCAAGAAGGACACATCCTTTTCCATGTTGACACACCTCCATCATAATTGGCATATTAGGCTTCATGAGCATCGCATTCTCATTCAATGTGGCACACCTTGACAATGAATAGTGCACTTGCTTCTTAAGGTGGCACATCCTCATCAATGATGGTGCATATTTATCGAAAATGATGGATTCGTGCATAGTGCATGACACATCTTTATCATAGAGAGCACATACATGCTACAAGATGCTCTATTCCTTTCTTAGGTGCTATATATCCCCTTTTACAATATATGTTACGTTATCACATGATTTCTTCATTTTTCACATGATTTATTCCCTTCTCAGATGATATGTTCTTGTGTCGTATGCTCCATTGAACTTGAAGTGCTCCACTGACTTCCAAGTGCTCCATGAAGTTGTAAATGCTCTAATCAGATTTAACAATATCCACCTTTACTTGAGTATCCTATAAACTCCACCTTAAACCAAGAACTTCCTATCCCTTCGTGTCACCCATCCCGAAGGGAACTATCTGCTACAAATATCAGCCACATCCAAGTAAAGCTTCAACTTCTCTGTAGGCAACAACTTTATGAACATATCTGCTTGGTTTAACATGATATCCATCTTCAGTATAGAGAGGTTATCGGTTTCTAGAATGTCATGAATAAAGTTCAACTTGAAATCAATATGCATCACCTTCTCATGACACATAGGATTCTTTGCAAGATTCAACCTACTTTGACTATCACAGTATAAGATATGCTTATCTACCTTCAGAACAAAACTCTAAATAAGCCCATGCACCATATATCTTCCTTTATCCCTTTAGTCATTAACATGTAATTTGATTAAGTTGTAGACAAAGACACGATATCTTGTAAAGTTAACTTCCAATTGATGGAACATTTGAGCAATGTAAATATATAACACGTTCGTCACCTACGATTCAACAAATCACCTCTATTTTTTTATTCAACATATATCTAACCAAGTTAGTTTTAGTATTAGCTCCATGCACCAAGAAAACATATGTGTTTCACTTCAAGTATTACAAGATCCACTTGACTGCTTCCTAATAACCGTTGCCATGATCGTTCATAAAACTTCTTACTACCCTAAATGATTAAGCCAAATCAGGTATGGTCCAGACCATAACATACATAGTACAAATGATTCTCATGTACTTCCTTTCATCATTATTTGTAGGTATACTACCCAGACCAACTTTAAAGTGTGTCGCCAAAGGGGTTCCAATTGGTTTAGACTGATCCAAGTGGAATGACTGCAAGACATTCTCAATGTACTTTCATTGACAAATAGACAATCGCCTTGCTCTATTTCCCATTCGAATCTCAATTCCATGTATCTTCTTTGCAACTCCCAAATCCTGTTGTATAAGGTGTCTAAGTCCATAACTATATTTGGTATGTACTTGACCCGACCCGGCATGGTCCATTTGGGTTGCATGGCATCATGCATTTGGATAGACTAAAAGAGAGAAATAACACTTGTGGTTTATTAATATATTATAAGTTCTAATATATTAATAGTATTATTTAATTAGTATTGATCAAGATCTGATTTAGAATTAGTTATGTGATCAAATGATGACTAATTAAATACATGGGTTGATTATGTAAATCATCCATAACTTATATAGTGGGCTATAAGGCTCCATGGATTATCAAGTTAGGTTAAACTCATAGGATGGCCCATGGATGCTCCATGGGACTTACAAACGCATGGGTCATGGAAATGAAGAGTCATGTCACATTAGGGTTTCCATGGTGTAACCATAGATGCTATGCACTATATAAAGAACATGTCGTATACCAAAATCGGTTACACTAAGTACAAGTGAAGGCAAGCAGATTTTTAGAGTGTTATACATTCTCTCAAAGTCATTCTAAAGCATTTGGTGTTGTATGAAGCATTTGAGGAATCACACTTGGGGTTCTAGGCTCTCAAGGTTTTCAAGGAATCAAATCAACTACAAGGTATGTAATTCTAGCCATCTTTCATTTTAAAAGTTCCCTTTGTATGCTAGATAGGATTATGAACCTTGGAAATCGTATTTTGCATGTATTTTAGACAAAAATAGATCCTAGGTTTTCTAGGGTTGCATGTACACTTAGGAGTGTTAGAATACTCAAAACCCTTCAGTGGTATTAGAGGCTAGGCTTGTTTGTTAAATACTTGATGCAAAATAGTGAAAAAATTGATTTTTCAGCTGTTTGCACAGGGACTCGACAAGTCCATGGGGGGACTCGACGAGTCCAAGTGAAAATGCAACCAACTTGGCAAGTTAGTTCGTGCACTCAAAGAGTTAGTCATGCAGATTGTAGTATTTCGATTTTTGCTACTGGAAATGGACTAGAAACAGTACCCTAAATTGTTTTGGTGTTATAAAAACTTGTTTTAGATGTTGTAATGGTTGTTCTAATCCATTTACACTGGCGAATACCAAATTTTCATGATCTTATGTGTTAACATGTTCTTGAAACTTTGATATGGATATTCATGTTCTTATGAGTAATTGATAGATCATAGGAATTACTTGTTTAATTGTTTTATCCGTGATCTTTATGTGTTTTAATGGAGTCCATAACTTGTCCTCAAGTTAAGGGTAACCAAAAGTATCTTTGTCTTAAAAGCCTTTAAAAGAACACATAAGTTATAAAATGAAGAGTCTTCATTTTAATAACTCATAAGTTATGAATTTGAAAGGTTTTGTAAAGTTACAAAACTTGCCCTCAAGTTTTGGAACATATAAAGTCACTTAATAAATATTAGTTCTAATCCCTAGAATTTTAAAAGTTAAAATTCAACCCTTATACTTTATAATATTATAAGTTAATATATATATATATATATATATATATATATATATATATATATATATATATGTATGTATAAGAGCAAGTCGTCTTACCAT